TGTCATACAAGCACGATACAGAAATGTTTCTAAATTAATAAACATAAGCAAAACATGCAATTTTCCGCGAGTCGGGGCTCCCATCAAATAATTAAAATAACCAGTGTTTGTGAATTTACACTAAGGGAATTGATATAAGCTATATGTGAAAAATTGTATGAGGACTTTTTCAGAACTTATCAAATGGTTTTGAAGATAACTACCTTGGCTTTTGAAAACTTTATGGTTTTATATATTTTTCAATGATTATATATTAATTTTCCTTAAAGCAATGGAGAGCGCACTCCCCTCCTTATAACGAAATCAGTGAACCTCAACAACATGATCACAAAAACATAATGAATTTATCTATGAAACAATACAACAAGGTCAATGTAAGCTGTAGGGTACCAACTGTCAGAGCCAACGAGTCCCATGAATATGGCAAAATTAAACCATTTTAAAGTGTAATCAGTACACTACCTATTTAAAGTGACTTACAAGACGTTTTATGGCGAGTCGACCATAAGCTAGGGTAGCTTTGGTCGGATCAATGTGCGGTGGTGGTTCTAAACTTATTCTTGCTAAAGCCATTTTGAATATCTGCCCTATGAAACCATGGTGAGGTGAGTAGAATACAATATTCAATATCGTGTTTACGAAATAGTGCAAACCAATCTGATTTCTTTTTGCTCACTTCTTGGTTGTAAGGTAAAAGTTCTAGGTCATCAGCAGACATATGCGTAATTCATCCAGCCACTCGACCGTTACAGCTTTGGTTGATCCCATAGGGAGTGGTACTTGGATTGGTTATGTGGTATACAGTAAGTGGTTTGTTAAGACCATGTCGCTACTGTAAATGGAGTTGATCCTTTCGCCCGTTAGTCGTCCGGTGTGGTGCTGGAGAGAGATAACAATGATGGTAATAAAAAATATAACTAGTGTAGATTTTGTAGGCTTGAAAAGAAAAACAAAAGGAAAGAAAACATAAAAACAGATAGTTGATGAAGTTTGAAACTGGTATGTATGTATCATTATTAAAAACAATGGAAATAGTCGGAGTAGTTGGAAGAGTAAGACAAAGGAGGATGTGGAGTAGTAAATAGGCGAGTTGATAGTTACCTTGCTAAACGAGTAATAAAAGCTGGTAAAGAGGAAAGGTTGGGCATGAGGCTAGCAAACCCATCCTGTAAAAATAAACACTGCTACAGAAACTTCAAGCCTCTAGCTTGAAGCTCTATGTTCCACTGGGAACGTGAAGGAATAAAAAAATGTTTTAGGTGGATAGACCATTTGGATGCATTCCATATGTCACCACATGACTGTCCAGCCTCCGCTCAGAGCCGTCCATGGACAACGAAGTGGCTACATCTGCCGGTAGAGAGCCCCTTGGTTGTGAAACTCGAAGTGAAAAATAGTAGCGCACTCCAGTCTTTGCTCTCTGGTGAGCCATCCTTCTGGGATTTTCACGAGGAATCGCTTCAGTACTTAGTGGTGGGACACCTTCTTAGGGTGATTTTTGTCATTTGTAATCCTACAGGCAGTAATCGAGTCCCCCTGAGCCGACGGCAGCTAGGTGTGAAGAGACCTAATTTCCTTAGCCGTTAATCATACGGTTTGTTTCGGAAGTCCATCACCACTTTTGTTGCCTGTTTTGGACTCTTCCCATGAGGTTTGCGTCTCTTCTAAGCAGTGGGGGTTATTAATATTATGCACTTCAGGATGTGGTCTGACGTATGTATTGTTCAACCTTAGAAAGAGCCCATGGATGAGTGCATCTAACTGTCTATGCGTAAAGTGTTTGACCGCACATGCCCTCGCTACATCACCCGTGTAATTCACGCTTGTGTCGCCTTTTCCAGCCAGAACTAGACCAAATCACGCTCTGCCGTTGTGCGGGACAAGTTTACGTGGCTCAGGGTGTAACTCACATTTTGCAGCCTACAGGTGCTTAGTTGTGCTGCTTTGAACTTTTTCAGGTTGAAAGTCACCACTGACTGCCGATCAATCTACCTGTAGCCTATCACAGTATTCCGAACAATTTATCGCTATCCAAATCTTTACGGCTTCAGCGTAAAGAAGAGTCGAGCAGCTCAGGCGGCAAATCAGATGCAATATTGTGACAAAATGCTGAGAATTCCGTTCTGTATTATAAGTAGTGTTTTTGGAATACAGTGGGTATTTATTATTGATATCCAATCATTTCAAACCGATGGTAGGTTTGTTACGCAGGATTTACCCTCCCCTGGAACCATGTCAGGCTTCATAGAGTCTATTAGTCCTATCAGGATGCTCCCTGATGTGATCATCAATTAGACTTACCGTTACTTTTGATACCTCTGGGAGAAGCACTACTGGTCTATAACTGGTGGCATTTTGCCTATCCCCACCCTTGAAACTAGGAGAAAGGTTGTCTCATTTACCACTCCCTTGGTAGTTTGCCTGAATCCGTTAGGTGCCGGAACAGGTTGTATGAGGGACTACAGGGAGCTTCAGCGTACTGTTTCAGAATAGATGGTCGGGACTTGTCAAGACCTGGGAATTTCCAAACATGAGTCCCTGTAACATCCGCAACCCAAATGCGTTGTAAATAGTTTTGATTATCTGAACTTTGTCTGTTCGGTAATCGATACTTTCGCCAGTTTTCCCCCCTGAGATTATCATCCAACTTTGAGATTATCTGAGCAACACCACTAGACTAGAGCTATTGGTGTCCAGAACTTTTCCTAAAAACAGTTAGGTGAAGGATACCTCTCCACTGTTCAGGCAGCTGCTACCTAACTCTCGAGTGGTGAAACAAAGTCTCGAGTGAGATTCATGAGACCTAAGTCCAGTGTCCGATTATCAAACTTCTTATTTCACCGCTTACTGGGGATCTTTTTTAGGAGAAGTTTTTTTTAGCTTCTATGCAACCAAACTTCATGGAATCCGGAATGTCACAATGTATGCCAGGAGGAATGGCCACATTCCTTTGACTCCCCTCTATTCTGACGTCTCTCAAAAGTGACGGTGATTTTTCCGGTAGTGTCTAGATTGTTTAGAAGTTCATGAATGAGACTTATTATAGCCGACTCTTCATGACAGCAGCATTTTCCATGATTCAGGAACATGTTTTAAGAGTTAATTTGTGATTTCCAAGTACATTTTGTCTGAAATGACCTCTTGGTCTCTCAGGTCTTCATAATGATTTGAACTTTGTAGTAAGAATTACAGGTAATGAAGAAATTCATCAAACACGGGTGATGTTCAAAAGCATCTGGCTGAAAGTAAGATGGCACAACCTAGAAAACTTACTTGCTTACATGAACCTCAAGGACGGTACATCTGGCGGAGTCCTGAAACTGATCACTTTAACCGGTTAAGCTCAAGAGTACCAGGAAGAGGCAGTAGCAGTGGCAGACAAGTTTTTCAGGTTCACTGCACGTGTCATTGCCACCATACCATCAACTCTGGTCGCATTAGAGAAAATGGGAGAAACTCTGACAGTATCAATCGAAACATTGTTCCCCCAATTCCGTACCTGTACCACAAATACTGTTTGGAATAAAGCCATTATTATTATTATATAAACCAGACGCGGGGAAATCGCTGGGACCAAAGGCTTTTCAGAAACCTGGCAACTCAGATAGCTGGCCCGTTGAAAGCGATCTTCGGACCATCCTTCGCAAACGGAGTTTTGCCGACCGTTTGGAAAACGCCATTCTGACACTCATCCAAGAGGAGGGATCTACAGGGTGCGCTGCTGACTGCAGGCCCAAAGGTCTCACCAGTATGTTGATAAAGAAACATAAAGGACAATGAAGAAGCCTGCTATGGCATATCTGGAAAGCAACGGCTCATTATCCAGATCATGGCAAAATTTCCAGGGAAAACATTCAAGCCTGAAAAACCTTCTCACAATAAGAAAAAGGTTTTAGAATCCCAGACATCTTTCTAAGCTGAATTAAGGAATTCCTGTTAAGTAGGGCACAAAGAGTCAGTGCCGAATCAAAACTCTATCCCGGGAAACGGTACGTAATTAGATGTCACATGGCATCATGCTAGCTCCCCTCTTATTTATATTCGATATCAGTGAATTAACTGGGCTCAAAGAATCTCCAATGGTTCTCTACGCAGATGACTGAAAAATCTGGAAGGGGACTGAGAGTATTGACGGCATGCTGATGTTGCAAGTAGTTCTCAAAATGTTTTAAGATTGGTTTAAAGAGTGGACACTCATAATCAGTACTTTGCTGGCAAGTATAATCTTATGTGACTGTAAGAAAACACCCCCATTACATCCGACAAATGGATCCAGTTATCATATCAAGCCATGAACTGAAACTACGGCACAACGGCTAATGGGGAGTGCAGCTCAAAGTTTGTAATCCTTGTGTTTCAGGCGGGCTCAGATATTACAGAAAGGGTTCAGAGGGAAGGCACACATGTGACGCCTGGTGTGTCTGATTTTTTGCAGGAGGAGAGACTTAACAATGTGAAGTCCTTCCCCTCGTCCCATCATATGCGGTAGATCTCACTACAATGTTCAGGATTCTAAGAAACGATTATGGACCTTATATACCTCGCCTCCACCGTCCCATTAGGTTGGAACATGTCAAAACACAAAGTAGGATAGTCTGGAAGATAAGGGCGGACTATGTCACTGCGGAGTACTTGTTCTTCCACCAAGTCTTAAACCCTTGAAATCAATTCCAAGAAGTGCCCTCAGTTTATCCGTTCAAAAGGAGATGAGACAATCACGGATACTTGTTGAAAAGGGGTTATTACAAGTCTGAGGCTTTCTTTCCTCAAACAGAAATGTGCATCTTAATCTGATTTCCGACTCCGAAAGCAACTTCCAAACACATGTGTATTGTCAAACAATCATTTCAGAAACAATAAATACAAGAAAATAATATGCATTTCGTTATATGGCAAATATGTCTAGTAAAATAAATACAAAAACACGCTAGCAGAAGAAAGCTAAGGATGATCTTGATGTCGAATTGCCTATATTGTTTGACATTACTGAGTGTTCGTGACCTATATTGACCTTGTCTGGCGGGTTAAGTTAAATTAAGTCCACGTCCAGATGTTAGGATATAGCAACTCGTCGGATTTCCAAAGTAATTTATTATCTAAATACCTCATATTCCCAAGAAATTGGCCTAGGTCTTCTTGCATTTGGAGTTGGTTTTCTTTGTCTTGGAGTACTATTCTTTTTCGATGCCGCACTATTGGCATTAGGTAATGTAAGTGCTCAGCATACGTCTATATTACTTCCTTCAGGTTCTTTTCCTTGCTGGCATAGGGTGTCTTATTGGGTTACAAAAAGCATGCACATTTTTCTTCCGCCGGACAAGTTTAAAAGGAGCCGCTTTTTTCTTCGGGGGAATAGCTGTCGTTCTGTTTGGGTTTCCCTTCATCGGAATGTTACTAGAAATTTATGGCATGTTTAATCTGTTTAGGTAAGTCGTGAATGTTCGTTGCTGTTAAGTGGTTTATCAGACCTACGAGTACTCTACTAATTTGATTCGGGTGGACTAGACAGGTGTCAACGATTGATTTCATTTACAGTTGCATTAAAATATACACTGCGATATATTATAATTTCATCTGGTAAAGAACAGTAATACGGTACATCCCAAGTGCAATTTATTGTCCCTAGTCATATGAACAATTTGATTGTCAACATTTCTAACCCTCATAAGGTTCCTATGTACCAAACTATTCATTCAGTCTTGGGGATACGCTCCGCATACAGTATAAGCCATGTTGTTCTTGTTAGTCCTAAGTACACTCACTAATAATCAGTTTTGCAAATACGTTTCCCCACCGATATAAGTATAACACTTGGGCACTGTGGTAAAGTATAACTCCATTATGGATAAGATTCTATTTTGATAAATCACACAGTGTTGTTATACAGTAATATTAACTGATAACCACACAAACTATTGCTCGTAATCATATCGTTACTCACACAACTTTTTCTTCATTTATATACATGTGTGGAATCGATTAGATATTGGGATAAAAATCATTATAGGATAATGTACATTCAGAAATAATAATAATAATATGAGTGTTATGGATCAATTACAATCAAATGCGAAATAAGATGAGTGTTTTTATAATCATAATAAGTAATTTGTTAGCATGTTGTGATGTGCTTGGATTGAAATAGAATTTTAAGATTATTTATTATCCTCTTCTGATTTGACTGGCGGTAATAATACTTCCATAATTCCCCACTCCTCGCCTCTTGTTAGTCAATGGCTCTACTTAAGTCAGATTCAAATAATAAGGATAATAGGTTCTTGTTGCCTATGTTAATATTTGCAATATATATCTTCCGAGCTCTAATTTCTCTTTAAGAGCGTTCAGCGATGGAGCTGTCACTACTGAATCAGGTAAGGAGTTCCAGTCGTTGACCACTCTGTGAGAAAATCTAAATTCCACACGTATTTAATTCGTCCTCGTCTTGAGCACCTTTTTGTGGTGACCTCGTAAATGTATCGTAGAGGGAAAAAAGATTAGAAAGGTTAATCCCCCAATTGTTCGTGATGAGAAATAAATTGTGTTAGAATCTTCATCAGTAAATATTACTGCATAATAGTAACTTTATCAAAATAAATTTTATGCATAATGGAATTATACTCTTCCACAATGCCCAAGTTTTATCCATATATCAACTCGTTCATATAGCACGCTGAAACACCTGTGTCTATTCGACTTGTGGACGAAGGTCTGGGCAAAATAGGTTTCCGAGATGTCACTACCCTATGCCCCGACAGTTCTTTCTCCCCTTTTTCTAGTTGAACCTTTAATTGCTCCACGGCTTCTTTTAATTCTATCTTCCAACTACCAACCAGGCTTTTTTATCAACTTTTTATCCCTGTTTGTAAATGTGTTGTTGAGAATAATGCTTTCTTCCACCTTGTTCACCAGTACTATTTTCAGTAGTCGTCGGGAACTTTACGTGGCGTCAGTACTTCGCTTACCAATTCCGATGACCTTTCTAATATGGACTCCATTTGTTTTTCGGGAAGTATTTCACGAATAATGGGGCTAACTGTCTTGAGATCTTCAACTTGTCGGGCAGCTGGATCTACTATCTTTGATTTCTCCAAGTTCCAAATAATGATACTGTAATTTGCGTCCGAAGGTTTCGAAATCGTGTTAGTTAGTCGCCTCTAATGGCACTTTCATCTGTGAAAAATTTCCCATATTACAGCAAAACCAAAAAGTTAGTCGTCCCAATTAAAATCATTATTATTAACCAAAAACTAATAGTTAATTATCAAATTTGATAGCATTCAAAAGCAAGTGGGCGTTCGTTGAAAGATAGTCCATTTAGGATATTTTGTCGTCTGAGTCTGAAGATGTTCCACCTCTGATGCTTCCGAAAAATTCATTTCATGCAGATATTTAACAGATATCAGTTAAACACCTTTTAAGATATTGGGTGTTGGATAAGGGTAGTCGTTAGGCACCCAAGAAACAAAGCCTCACCCGTATTCTACGGCTGGTACCATGGTGATAATTTAAGGCAGTTGTTGCATGCTGGAGACCAGTAATTCCGACTTACTAAGTACTGTTTTGAATCAGAATAACGTCAGGAGTTAGGAAGGCCTGACAACATTACGTCATTGGCTAGTTGAGGTATAAATTTCGTACAGACTCACAGATACTACTCTTTTTTATTCTCATGTATCGTGTGTATTCTGGAAATGAACCTGGTACACATACTCCTCCCTGAATGGTATATAAACACATGTCCTCCGTCCCTATCTGAGGTTACAAAAACTGTCACTAGTCTAAAACGAGGCAAAGCAGCACGACCTGACAGAATGACTCCAGAGGTGTTCAAAGACGGTGGAGACAGTTTACTGTCTGCGTTAGCTAAGGTATTAGGCAGCATCTGGGAATCACTGATAGTCCTGTCGGGTTGATGTAAGTCATTGATTATCCCGATGTGAAAGAAGGGAGACAAGTCTTCCTGTGATAATCACAGGGAGATAAGCTTGACCATTATGGTTTCTTAAGTTCTAGGCTCGATTCTCATGCGTAGACCAAGTCGTGCTCGGGAGGAACAAACACGAAAAAACCAGGTAGGGTATATCGATCATACATACCGGCGTCCAATAATCGTTACTTTTCTTGACCTGAACGCGGAATTCGATTCCGTCTACCGAGAGGTACTATGCCGGTGTTTGGTTTTAAAGGGAATGCTGAGGAAATACATCACACTCATCAGGGCACTCTACTCGAACTCATGCAGCCAGGTGAGTGCTGACGGAGATTTTTTTGTCTGAAGTGGTGGCCGTCAGGGATGTCCAGTGTCCCCATTTCTGTTTAATTTCATCATTGATGTACTAATGAACTTAACCCTAACTGACTTCAGTGAATCAGGAATTGACTTGTTACCACCAGGGAATAATCTCCTTGACTTAAAATAAGCAAATGATATAGTCCTCCATCCTAGGTGAAGACGCTCACAAAATACAGAGTCTTCTGAACATGGTGAACAGCAGCCGTCGGATGTTTGACATACGATTTGCACCCTCCTGTCAAATGTAAGATGATGCTAAAGGACTGCACTAAATCTACTCACTCCTAGCTTAAAATAGGCAGGAGTGAAGTGGCTGATTAATTGTGTTGACCACTTCACTTATCTAGAGAATTGCATCAGCCAGCACCAGTGGGTCGATCGCTGACGAGATCTCAAAACGGATACACAAGACTCGTCTGGCATATACCGACTTATACCATCTCTGGCTTAATAGACGTGATATCTGGCTGGTTGTCGACCAAGGGGCGTGTGTACTGCTCAGCAGTTCTCCTTTATGGCTGGCTGTGAGACATGGCCATTGAGGATGGAATACATGAAAAGGCTGGTTGTCTCTGATCGTAGGTTGTCTACGGTCTATCTCCCGTGTTAAGTGGTATAATAAAGTGAGAAATATTAAGGTTAAGCATGGAGGGGAAACCAATCGACGAGGTTGTGAAGTTACACCGATTGAGATGGTTGGGACACGTGTTAAGCATGCCTGCCTAGCCACCGCCTTCCTCAACGACAGGCCGCTGACATTGGATGGATCAGGTTGGAAAAGAGTTAGCCAGTGGTAGTCAAACGAAAAGATGGTTTCATCAGTCAAAACAGTTAGTTTGAACCATGTCGGGAGGTTTAGACTTCTTGGTTGGGGTCCTCGGGATGGTAGAAACCAATGAAGGCTGGAGACAACTGGTGATATGGCTCAAAATCTTTCTCAATAGCACAGATGCATTTACTTTTTGTGATTAATAATATCCAATAAGATTCTAATGTTCCATATTACTATTCTTTTTCCCTTATTCAAACTTCTGTTTATTATCTCTGTCTCTTTTGAATCTCTCTTTACTCTATTCTCATGCTTTGTATGCTGCATAGAGGGAGAGTGGCATTTCGAACTGGTGCACATTTGTGCAAAGTTCTACTTTGAAACCAGTCAGTCATTCAGTTTGTGATTATTAACGTACAACACAGCTCAGCTGTTTTCTTTTCAAAGCAGCCGTGGTAGATTTCTGTACTGTCGCATGAGGATTATTGCAGCAAACTCCTTGTTCAAATAGATGGGGTAATTGATGTTCGGTTGGTTACAATTAGAGTGTAATTGTGCCATTGTCTGAAGCCATTCATCTAGTGTTTGATGACTTAATTTATGTACACATCATTCACAGATGTAGGGGGATACGTCTGGGTAAATAGTTATCCTAGTAGGTCTTGTAGTTATCTAGGTTTTGAATCAATTCATACCCATTAAATGCCTTCTTATTACTTTAATGAGATTTTGATATGCAGTAGGAAAATAAAAGAATGTTTAAAACGTCTAAAATTGATCTCTGTTAATATAATCATGTTCATTTTTATTTGGTAGTAAATTTATCCCTGTGGCAATCAAATTCTTGTATGGTGTTCCAGTGATTGGTTGGATATTATGGCTTCCGGGTATTAATGGTGTAAGTGTATTGTATTAATGCGCATGTTATCATGTTATCAAACCTTTTCCACCACTATGTGTAAGGTAGCTTTTAACACAAGGCTTTAAACAGCTCCTGCCTGCCTGGTTCGTATATGATTGTATGTAAATGGCTGAACTCTTGCAGTGTAGCGGTGGTTAGAAAAGTTGTTGAGCTAGATAGATGTACTGCGTAGTGCATGTAAAAGGCAAATTCTTCGGTGGTATATACTGCCAGCACTGTATGACTGCATCTGTAAATACCTCAACAGCCATATATGGTCCATCACGGATATTGTTAATGTGAAGTAAAATGTTCATAAGATCGCTTAAAGTTTTCTTGTCTTTTTTGATTACTACGGCTATTTTTATTCCCTTGGATTCCGAATCCCGACTGATAGCTGCTACCTTGACATGGTGGTCGGGCTTGCACATCGCAATGAACCAACAAGCTACATTGGCTGGAACTATTGTTCCTGCAGGTCCTACCATGCCACTAAGGTTGTTAGGATAGCGATTAGACTAAAAGCAGTCACCGGCATAGTGTAAGAATTTTTTGCTACACTGTGCTGGGGGTCTGTGGGCGATCGTATTGCTGGGGAACAGGGATGTAACAGCACTGAGGTGTTTCCATCAGATGACCAGCATACCAGCTATGCTGTCTCTCCGCTCTGGAGAGAGGGGGTTAGTAAAGGTCGACCCCAACAATTGTACATCCTGACTTACCCTACGGTGGTCTGTAACCGGCGGTAAGTTTACTAAAACGGGACCAATCCAACAAACCAGTTGATGCAGGCCGTGTGTGACTGGCCTCAAGCAGTTGTCCCCTGGGCTCTGTGGGCACGCAACACTAACCTTTTTTCTGTTTCAGGTACCCGAAGCATCAACCAACTTCCACGGTGTGGGAGCCGGGAAGTACCAACCGACCACACACTTCCAGGCAGACACACTTGGGTTCCGAATAGAAAATATGGATTCAACAGCACATCTCCATTCCATCCTCTCCTCTGCAGCCGTCTTTAGCTGGCTCCATGATTACCCAGAAGATATCATCTCTCACTACCTCCTCCATGTCACTCGTGAACGTCTAACTGGTCTCCCATTCAGGTTCCACTCGAGTGATAGCCTGGCACATGATGTCACTTAAAGGTCTTGCTGTGTGTGTGTCTGATCCATCTCCTTTCCTTTCGGGATATTTGTTGATCAATAGGTTCTTGGTTGGTTCTTTGCCTGGCAGAGTTCCTTGTTGCTAATCCTTTCCGACCGGCCATCTGGTCTTTACTACGGAGCCACCAAAGGCACTTGTTAACGGAATTCTGGGACCTGTTTGAGATGCTTCTGAAGGCACTAATTGACTTAACATTAGTGTTTCAAGTACAAATCTTGTTCTTTATGTCGATTGCAGTGGATTTACAGACTAACTTCAGAGTGATGAAGGTCTATCTTGCCTTTCCGATCCCAGCTGGCTTTGACGTCTTCATCCGTTCCGCTTACAGTTGGAACGATGCCGCTTGGACTAGTGAAGGAAGAAACCTCCTTCAGATTCCTGCTATTGGTAGTGATTGGTGCTTGTTGTTGTTGGTTGGTCATTTTCATCACCTCTGTCTTCTCTATGTTCACTCGAATTCCATTCATCTCAGCTTGTTTTGCCAAATTTTTGGTTTTCGCTTGTAGATCTTTGAGTTTGTGTAACATTAGATATAGGTCGTTTGCAAAGTCCCGATCTTCTAGAGTCTTCTTGTCAGTCCAACATATGCCCGTCTCTTGACGAACAGTCTGGTGCATGATCCAGTCCACCGCAATCAGAAATATCGTCAGTGATAGTAGACATCTCATCTCTTAGTCTTAAGGTCTTCTCTGAGTTTTCCGTTGTGAATCACTTGTTATGTGGAATCATCATATACCTGCTAAATGAGGTTTTACAATGGTTTAGGACACTCCGTAGTGATGAAGCAGTTTCAAAATTACTTCACAGTCAACACTGTTGAAGGCCTTTTTCTAAGTTGATGAAGTCGAGGTGCAGAGTTGATTGCCATTCTATGGTGATACATAACTTTGAAGTTTAATGCGCACTTGATTTGTTTTTCCTCAATTCAGCATGTTTCGGATGGAGTTTTGCATCCAGAATATCTTTTACTCTCTCCAGAATGATGTAATTTGATATTTTGCTTCGGATGGACAGGAGCCTGATTCCGCACGACTTTATGCACAGGCTGAAGTCACTATTTGGTAGTTTGACAAAGTTACCTTTCTTCAAATCAGTAGATATCTATCCCTCCAAATTTTCTGCAATAGTGGCGTAAGGATATACGCTGAGGTCTCTGGATCCTTTATCAGTGCTTTCGGAGGAGTTCCGTCTAGTCCTGCTGGCTTTTATTAGCTTCATGACGCTCACTACTTCTACTTATGTCGGAGCATTGGTGTCAACTGGCAGTTCTGTGGCTGCTTGTTGTATTTCTGGACGAGTTGTTGATGGTCGTTGGCTCGAAAGTATTTTTAAGTGATCAACCCATTGTCTCTCATGTTTCTGCTCTTTGGTAATTCGATTCCCTTCACACTTTCGTTGGTTTCATCTGTATTGACCTCTCCCCAGGTAGCAACCGAGTTGTCTGTTGTATTAATGTGAGGTCCCTCTTGTTTACGGCCTGTTTTGCGTCAGTTTCTAACGTGTCATGGAATTAGGTTTTGTCTTATCTTCACTTCCCTATTCAGTGCGTTGTGCATTCAACTTAGCTTCTATTTTCACTGACCATTTTTGCAGTAGTTCGCCTTCTGTTCCAACACCCCTTTCTCATCTATTCGCTTCCAGGTGTCCGTAGAAAGCCATTCCTAGTTTTGCCTATAATTTCTTCTTACGTTGGTGTTATACAGGTTTCTTTCAAAATTACTTTCAGAGAGTTCCAGTATTCTTCTATACGGGTCTCAGTGATGCTACACAGCGGCTGCAACTTTTCTCTGATGACTGCAGTGAAGGTGTACTTCGCAGATTTGTCCCACAGTTTCTAGGTGTTGAACTTAAATTGTAATCTGTCTCCAGTTTCTTTGGAGGCTTTGAACTTGACCCTACATGTTCCTTGTAAAAGATAGTGGTGTGAACCGATTTTCTGCACAGCAGCTGGGGTCTCCATTTTCTTGAGATAGAGATTAAGCTCATCCGATTTTCGGTATTTCCTTTACGTGAAGCTCGTTTTACCTTGTGTATATCCTTGTGCTTGCATACACTGCCTCCAAACACCAAATCATTGCAGTCAAGGACATCTGAGAAGAACACTCTGTTATCATTCATTTTGCTGACAGCTTCCACACCCATAGTGAGTTCTCTTCCTGTGTTGTCTGCTCATAGTTATTAGGATTTTGATGTCATCATTTAGGTTCTGTCCATTACTCTTTGTAGGTATCTGTAGAATTCTCGCTTCTTTTTCTTGAAGAGCGCTGTTTGTAGGAGCGTAGAGAATTGGTTAACTGTAATTTTCTTACCATCTGAATTGAATTTTGTTATCATTATCCTGGATGTGATTAGTTCCCACTGTATAAGAGCCTCAGATGTTGTCGGCGACATCGTGATAAACACTCCCAGTTTGGTCGTGGTTGTCGTCTGGATGACCGGAGTAGATTATCGACTCTCCATTTAACGATTTGTAGAGTCCATTTGTCGATTCCATCTGTTCTCACACAATCTAAGCACTTATATACCAGATCTTCTCATTTCTTTTGCACTCAGAGTAGCCTTTCCAAGTAACTTCGAACATCGTGCGAACATTTCATGTCGCCATGCTTTCTTTTTTTACTTTCATTGAAAGAAGATACTTTGGCTGACTGGCTTATCGAAAGCTTTAGCGATCCCATTTATTACACCTATCTGATTCCAGCAAAAAGAATAAGTCTTTTTGATTATATTTTTTCTGTGCTGCGAAATTTTCGTGGCTGATTGGACTGATTTCCCGGAGTAGGGTTGGTAGCTTCAAGCCAGGCCTTCCCTCTTTCTCCAGGTTTAGGATTGATGGCTTACTAATTCTCGAAATAGTAAAAACTGTCATTGCCTCAAAGAGATACTGGCTTTCATTACACCAATCAAAGGAATGAGCTGGTGTTTCGAAAACAAGCTTTATATCATATTGAAACAGTCACACTGAGCTCTGGGTTTATTCAGATGTACTCCTTGGAGTTTCTTCTGATTGAGGGTTTTAAGGTCATATAGCGTTTTGACTTAGGAAAAAGCACAAGCTAATTTCTGTAATTGTTTTCATCTTGAGAATCGGTGAGAGACGTGTAATAAACAAGAAAATTATACACGATGATCAATAATGATCAATATGTTGCTTCAGATTAACAATATCATTGGTGAACCCTGCTCAATGTTAGTCTTTTTACTGAATTCCTTTGTGTATAATCTTCCAAAACAGATTTCCTAGATGAATTGTAGAGTGCTCGCAGTGTATAAATTTGCCGGAAAATCTAAGTTCCCGTGCAATTCCTATCAGTATTTGGTGACTATATTCACACTAGACGCTTCACAAGTTTAACACCTAGAAATTTTCTTCCTAACCAGAGTTTTGTGCAACTTTAGTTCTTTCAAACAGCTACTGTATTATTTAATTAGTGGATGGTGACTAACAGTGGAATCCAGGATGCGCATTTCGTCCTATTTGGGGCTTGTCATCCGAATGTACCTGCATTTCTCAGCGAGTGATGATGTTCCCACCGAGGCTCGAACCCACTGCCTATAGTTTCAAACTAGCATCTGCACAAGAAGCCGACATGTCAACCTGAAACCTAGCACTTCGGTCCAATCGATCGACGGGAAAATCTAAAATTCAATTAAGGTGCTGTATTATACCAAACAGGACTAAATTCCTCACGTGAATATAAAAGGGTTTAAATTTAACTGAGTGCTTCAGTCAATTACCTACAATGAGTGAAACATGAAGGTCTTAAAATCAATCCAATATGATTTCTTAGCTACTGATAGGCTTTCGAGTGATTTGAGTCTGGTGTCAAGCTTATTAATTTCATATTTCTGAATGTTGTACTACACTTCACCGGATTAAACGCTCATATAATTTTTTTTCATTTTGTTCCTTTACGTTCCCATTGGGACATAGGACTTCAAACTAGAGTGTTAAAGTTTCGGTAGCAGTGTTTATTTTTTACGGGATGAGGTTGCTAGCTGGCTTAGTGAGGTAAAGGAGTGCGTCGACCGGGGATCGAACCCCGAACCATATACGTGGTTGGCAATCATCCTACCGCTGTGCCACCGACGCCTATTCATATAATTAGTTAGTAATAAATCCAAGCGTATCTATCACATTACGAAAGCAAACATCCGTCTTCTAAGGGTATTCGGGTACTCATGTGTGTCCACCAAGTGCTATTCAGATAAATTTTATATGTATATTGTAGAACTGTGTCTCATGAACTTTTGAGGTTGTCAAACACAACTGTCTACAAGTTAAACACTGTAGGCAGCATCTTTCTTTAGTCCCCTGAGAAGAATTTGTGTACAAAAATGATTTTAAACTCAGCTCTCTAATGTTTCAAGCGTTCGATTCGTATTATGTGAGTGCTGGTAAACAGGAGTATTTAGTAACGCAGTTATTTATTGGCGACTCAATACACGTCTACCATATATTGGAATCAGAATTTGCACATATATATTCAAGCATTGTCTTCTGTTTGTGTTTTCCATGTTGCTTCGCAAGCATCGCTTGTTAAAATCCATCTCTCCGCTATTCGATATTCTTGCAGCTGATATCCATATTTAATATCTGCACCCGACCGATAGCTGCTACCTTGACATGGTGGTCGGGCTTGCACATCGCAATGAACCAACAAGCTACATTGGCTGGAACTATTGTTCCTGCAGGTCCTACCATGCCACGAAGGTTGTTAGGATAGCGATTAGACTAAATGCAGTTACTAGCATAGAGTAAGAATCTTTTGTTATACTATACTGGGGGTCTGTGGGCGAAGTTGTACTGCTGGGGAACAGGGATGTAACTGCAGTAAGGTGTTTCCCTTAAATGAGCAGCATGCCAGCCACCTATGCTGTCTCTTTACTCTGGAGAGGGGAGGTTAGAAAAGGACGACCCAAAAATTGTGCATCGCAACTTACCCTACGGTGGTCCGTAACCGGCAGTAAGTTTACTAAAACGGAACCAATGTCAGAAACCAGTTCATACAGGCCGTGTGTGACTGGCCTCAAGCAGTTGTCCCCTGGGCTCTGTGGGCACGCAACACTAACCTTTTTTCTGTTTCAGGTACCCGAAGCATCAACCAACTTCCACTGTGTGGTCATCCGGGAAGTAACAACCGCCCACACACTTCCAAAAGCATATATGTACTACTTAAATATCTTGTCAGTAGTACACGAAATGAGTACCACTTAGTAATAGTTACCCAGACTGTTGTAGGTGGAGTGGGTGGTTGGGACTCGAAGCCGTGACCTGCTTGCTGGCTGAAAGTCAGGCACTCACACCATTTAGGTATATATATCTCTACATTTTTGTGTATAATGCTGCATTCAGTTACATATCTGTTTAAATAATCTTATTTGTATGCTTGTTCACTGTTGAATTCAGAGAACAAAACACGTAGATCAGCGAAGAGTCTCTTTTCGGCGGCGAATTCATTTTCTTAGCTGTACAATCGCAAATATCTTTGTGTTATTTTGTATGTATGTGTACATTAAGTTTGTCAAACAAAAATACAATTGGTTATGGTTATTTTAACTAAACAGGTGAAGATTGGTAATTGGAGTTAAGTAATACACAAAATCAGTCAAGAAAATTAGGTGTTATTGAAATTAGGGTAGTAACAAAGGTGATGAGTTGTCACAAACAGTTGCTAAAAGACGTTATGTAATAATATGAATAGTTTGATGAGTGAGTTTTACTCAGGATGCACATAGGAACAAAGTGCATAATACAAAATCACGTAAGAGTTCTAAATGAATACAAGAATTATATGCAATTAAAGAACAGGCAAAGAAACAAAATTAAGTCATCAAAATAAATATAAAATAAAAAGTTGTTACCAAGACAGTAGAAGCGGTTGAGTAATCCTCTTTTGTATGCACAGCTCCGGTTTTTCTATGTGAATGGTCAGAGCTTCAGCGTAATTTCGTATTATCTACTTTGTTCCTATGTGCATCCTGAGTAAAACTCACTCATCAAACTATTCATATTATTACATAACTTCTTTTAACAACTGTTTGTGACAACTCATCACCTTTGTTACTACCCTAATTTCAATAACACCTAATTTTCTTGACTGATTTTGTGTATTACTTAACTCCAATTACCAATCTTCACCTGTTTAGTTAAAATAACCATAACCAATTGTATTTTTGTTTGACAAACTTATTGTACACATACATACAAAATAACACAAAGATATTTGCGATTGTACAGCTAAGAAAATGAATTTGACGCCGTAAAGAGACTCTTCGCTGATCTACGTGTTTCGTTTTCATTAATTGTCTGGATGGGGATAATACATGAATTCAGAGATCACAAAACTCTAATTGACGATTAGTCTCAAGTTGTATTCTCATTACATGCATACATACATGTGAAACTGTTTTGCTTTTTTTTTAGTTTGTACGCAGACTTAGCCAATCTAATTCAATGGTTTAAAAAGTAATTCCAAGAAGATTACAACCTTTTGACATGATGAATTGACGCCTGTAATAATTCGTTAGTGAGTATGTCAAATATTATGACTCCTGGACTTAGGTCTTTTTCTATGTATATTGTTGATATATATATATATATATATATATATATATATACATATATATGCATAAGCGATGAAATGTAAATATACGCATAACTTGAACAATTCACCTCCATTCATTCACTCACCTGTCCGTTTTCTTATATGAACTAACACAAAAGATACTTTTTTTGGATTTTATGTCACTATTATTCAGCAAAGAAATTGAACATACACACACCTGTGTAAAACACACCATTTTATCTTTTGAAAATTGTATTGTTCGCTGTTGAATAATTTCTTTCTGATATGTATTCATTTAAATAATAATATCTTTTTGTATTACATGGTGAGTTTGCTTTCGACTTCACTTTTTTCAAACGAGTCGTATAATGCTGCGGATTGGTTGATTGATTAAGCACCAGTCAGTAGATGACGTAGTTTAACGTTGTATTGTTAACCTAAATGGTATAATGTACTTATTGTGCGTGTGTGTGTTATGCGGTAGGGTAAACTATGTTACAGGATTTCATCATGAGCGGACATTGCTTAGAGAACCATTGGAAAACCTGGAAGTACTGGACAGCTGTTTCGCCCTGATTTGGGACTCTTCATCAGTACGTATCCACTAAGGTTCGAACCCCAGGACCTTCTGGTTACAAGGCGAGCTCCTATACCATTAAGCCACTGGGACCCGATCCAATGGCCCATGAATTCTAACTTCTGCCAATTCATGATATAGCGCAACCGCTAGCCAATGTCTTCGGCGAGTATTTATCCTCACACACCCCGACCTGCTGCACCCTACTGGTCACGACTTCCCACTGGAACCCTAGGTAACTACCTACCTACCTGGATAGGGCCAGTCGCTAGTGAGCATCTCATTGTTATTCAAGTATTGGTTTGTAGGGATTTGGTTGATTGGTTACAGGATTTCATCATGAGCTGACAACGTCTATAGAACCATTGAAAAACCTGGGAGTACTGGACAACTGTTTCGTCCTATTTGGGACTCTTCATCAGTACGCACCCACCGGGATTCGAACCCAGGACTTTCTGGTTACAAGGCGAGCTCGTATACCTGAAATCCAATAGCCAATCAACCAAATCCCTTCAAACCAATACTTGAATAAACTATGTTGGTTCAATAGTTCAAAATGTTGGACATCAATTATTGAAACAGCCTAATCGATCGTTCATTTTACACCACTTGTAGGACACTTTGTCATTCTGTAAAGGCGGTAATTAGTGGAATTATAAGTGCAGCAAATTCAGTTATTCTCTGATCATAAACTTGATTCCCATTTCCTTTCCCTGTATCCGTGACTGATTGGTTTCAACGTAGGAATTTGCACCAGTTTGAGTTGCCAATCTCCTTCCATGCACACAAAGAAAGAGAAAAAAGTAATTTCCTTCAGATTTCTGTCATTGATGGTGACGGATACTTGCTGTTGTTGATTGGGTACCTTCGTCACTTCTGTCTTCGCTCTATGTTCACTGGAAGTCTAGTTGTAACGACAGAAGGCAAGAGTCAGGCAACAGATTGTTTATTAATGAAATCAACACATATTCATAGATTTTCGTGTACATTATTGTTAGCTGACAAACACAGTTTTCTGATTGGTTGTTTCTCACATAAAAGTTAATCTTTCATCTATTTGTTGCTGTCTCTTGAGTGTCAGGTCATCTATCTGCTAATTGTATCCGCCTATGCAAAGTCTGCTGTCCGTCTTTGATCTTGTTTTCACATGACTAATATTTGAGACATAAACATTGACCTCAATTACTGTCTACCGATTTGGCTAGCAGCCATCTCTCACCACATAATCACCACTGCTTCTTTTCGGTCGGTTTTCGACATAGAACTTTGCACATATGTGCGGCAGTTCAAGTCGCCACACTCCCTCCTTGTAGCACACAAAGCAAGAGAAGAAAGTAGGAGAAATGTATATTAGAGACAGTAAACAGAGGTGTGAGACAAAGGAATAGTAGTAACGAAGAACAAAACAGTTTCATTGGAAACCATAAGTCACAAGGAGTGGATGCATCTGCGCTAGCCATTGAGAGCGATTTTGAGCCATGTCACCAATTGTTTCCAACCATTGGTTTTCACCGTCCCAAGGACCCCAACCAGGAAGTCTACACCTTCCTACGTGGCTGGCTTAAACTAACTGTTGTAGATTTCATTGACTGGTGACATGTTTTCGTTTGACCGCCGCTAGCTCTTTTCCAGCCTGGCCCTATGTCAGCTAACATTGCCCACTGTCGAGGAAGGCGATGACTGGGCATACGTAATACATGTCCCAACCATCTTAGTCGATGTAATTTCACAGTCTCATCGACTGATTTCCCCACCTTACCTAGCACTAGACGCCTAACCTGAATATTGCTCACCTGCTTCTTTTGCTAACTTGTCGGTTGTCATCTGTAGACCTTCGAGCTTAGGCATAAATTGTAAGCGAAGTCTGAATCTTCTTGTCTTGTCCTTATTTAATTTATGCTAATTACTAGTGATAATCAGACTGACAGTAAACCAATGAATATTATCACATATGTGTAAAACTTGGTCACTGCAGTGGTGTGTAATTCCATTTATTAATTTGTTTATTAAATACATCACACACACAGTGGAACAGCATTATTTACTGGGTGACGTTTCGAACACAATTTATTGAGCATAATAATATCAAGCATCTACACCATTGGCGCCACACTGTCGTGTTACTCTCCACTGTAGTTGCACGATCTCTAGTGAAGCACGCATCATTACACAAAAGTAGCGATACTTAATTATATTTACATAGTTTGGCTGTCTAATTTTTGCTCTGATTTGGCTGCTCCACACTCGATAAGTACTCTTAATAGACAGTACACAAGCTAGGCCCTCAAGTGGAACCTGAATGGAATGCAACGGAGTTGACCATCCGACGGTGATACGGAGGAAGTTGTATGAAGAGGAAATGAAAGCTCAGGGAGTCGGTTAGACTGAGACCGCAGAACACGATGTAGAACTGTATGTTCCACGTGGGACCTAGGTTTCTAGTAATAATGTATCGTCCGAATACGTCAACATAGCAATCTCCTAAAAGTCTATCCAGTCTTTTTCCGCCTGATGTCCTTCACCTTTAACCTCGATGATCCCGAATGACTCTAAACAGTATCATCATTATCCCACTTTGTTATAATTGCATATTTTTATTCTTAGTAGAATCTGACATTGTGGTCAGACTAATAATTCCGCCTGTCTACACATTCACACCTACACAATCCGCTTATATGTCTTCAATCACCAACTGCTTATGTAATAATAATAGCTTTATTCCAAACAGTATTTGTGGTACAGGTATGGAATTTTCAGCGTGCATTACCATATTGCATCTAATTACCTCATAAATTTTATAAGATTTTAAAAAATAAAAAGCAATAACAAAAACATAAATAAAAAAGAACAGCATTGCATTCACATTTTAAACAATGTACTACAGGATATGAAATATAAAATTAGTGTGTAATAGAATATGTGAGCAACAATATAATAGTAACAAAGAAAGGAGAACAAAAGCTAAAGGGAACTATTTGTTAGAGTGGCGCAGTAAGTTGATCGTGTCATACCTAACGGATTTCTCATCACATAACAGCTGTGCCAGATAAGGTATTGTGGAGCTTTTGTACTTGGTAGTCCTGGCATATAGCCTCCTATAGTTGCTTCTAGTTCTACCAGATGAAATGCAAGGAGAGAGCTGCATCCACTCCTTGTGACTTATGATTTCCAATGAAACTTTTCGTTCTTCGTTATTACTACTCCTTTGTCTCACACCTCTGTTTACTGTTTATATTATGCATTTCTCCTACTTTCTTCTCTTGCTTTGTGTGCTACAAGGAGGGAGTGTGGCGACTTGAACTGCCGCACATCAGTGCAAAGTTCTATGTCAAAAACAGACAGACAGAGAGCTGCGTATAGAGAGGATGCTAAGGGTCTGACAATATAGAATTCGCTAGTTTCTTACATGACATTATATGTCTATCCACAATAGTATTAACCAGTTGGTTTAACGAAATCCCGCTTCCCCTACTAGCAGCTTTTAGTGCCCTACGCAGCAAAGCAAAGTCTTTCTTAAGTAGTCCAGGAAAGATTAATGGGGAGCAGTAAAGAGGGATGTTTAGAATACAAGAATTGACAAACTGAGAAAGCAAAGACTGCTTTATACTAGACTGCCTTAACTTCCTAACGTAGGACGTTAAGCGAAACATCTTTCTAGTAACTAGCAAGATGTGAGAGGACCAGGAAAGATCGGAGGAAATACTCAGTCCAGGGTACTTGACATCAGATGTAGTTTCAACCTCTATGCCGTCAATGACAGTGGGACCATGTGAGCTAGCTAGTTGTTGTAGGTCACGTTTTCGTCTGAAAGTGAAATTTACTACCTGACATTTAGACGGATTCAGCTTAAGACCGTTTGAAGAGGACCACTGACTAATTTCTGACAGAAGGTTATTTAATTTGGAACAGTCTGACTGAGAGTTGACAGGCATAGAAACAGAGAGTTCATCAGCATACTTAACAAAATTGGCTACATCAGAATGGGGCAAGTCAGGTAAGAAAACAGAAAAGGAGAAAGAACAGCACCTTGAGGAACACCAGCTAAAGTAAGTGAGGTAGTGGAGGACTTTCCATTGTAGACGGTGTACTGCTTCCTATCAGAAAAATAGGAATGCAACCACTTATTTGTCCAGCTCTCAGTCTGTGTTGCAGCAAGCTTACTAAGCAAGAGAGACCTAGGTACAGAGTCAAATGCAGATGTGTAATCAAGGAAGGCACACCGAACATATTTAGCTCCTCTATCTAAACTGGAGACTATATTATGATATAGAACAACAGCGGCATCTAAGGTGCACCTATTATGTGTATAAGTAAACTGGTTGGGGTCATTGAAAGGCTTTAATGAGGGTTCAAGATTTAGTAAAATAAGTCTTTCCATAACTTTTAAAAAAGGTGAGGTAATAGCAATCGGTCGAAACCTAACAGTAGGTCCACTTGTTGATTTAGGCACTGGAACGACCTTGATATTTTTTGTGAGTTAGGAATAATACTTTTGGAAAAAGATTCATTGAAAATGTCGGTTAATGGGTAACATAAGATGTCAGCAGACTTCTTAAGGATAACAGCAGGAACTCCATCAGGACCAAGGGAATGAGTAGGTTTGAAAGATTGAAGACACTTAAGGACATCATTCGTGTGACTTTGTTATTATCGCTATTTCGGTAATACTTATTTGCCTAAGTCGTAAGGCTCTAATCGACCTGATAATTGACAAAATGTACTTCCTGTATACAAATAATAAAATGTATTGAAATCTTTAGCCACAGACAGCTCAATAAATATATTAAAGAAGGCACATTCTATTCCATTAGATTCATAACTCAAGTGTATCTATATATATATATATATATATATATATATATATATATATATATATATATATATATATATATATTAACCCCCTCAGTCCATCTACTGTCATACAGTACTAACATTCTTTCAACTCGTAATAAGCAATAGATATTACAATTTGAATGGAGATTTCATCAAGAACCGACTACACTAAGAGAATCATTGGAATCCAGGGATCTACTGAATAATTGCTTCGTCCTTGATTGCGACTCTTCTTGAGTGGCAATCCAAGCTTCGACACCAGTCCGTTAGTCTTTCAACTACAGTGTTGGGAAACAAAATGACCTATACATTTTAACTTTTATTTAAGAAAAAACAAAATAATTAAACATGGAATATGCTTTTCGATAATTTCCTCTTCCGGCTCTATATACATATGTTTATATAGATAGAATATTCTAGAATAGTTGTCAACGTCAATATTGGTGTTTTTTAAATAATATCGATTTGTAGAGTAAGGTCAATGGAATTATAGTTCATTAAAGATGCTTAAATTATAATAATAATAACAATAAAGATATAATAGCAAATAGAATATCAACTAAAATTAAGGAAATTTCTCCTAACAATTGAAGATCATTCGAACTTAGATGGTCAAGGTAAGGACAATGTCTGAACTAGCTTCTTTATATGGATCCCAATAGCCTCAGCAATATTTAGTAGTTGAACTCTTAAGGCGCAGTTAAGATTTATTGGTATGCGGTAAATGACTCTGAAAGCCTCGTTGACATCAATCTTGCGTTCTGTATCCACAAGATGAGATAGAATAGCGCTACGAATAGATTTTGTTTATCCTTTACTTAACCACGCTGGGTGAAGAACCAGAAGAGGAAATTATCGAAAAGGATATTTTTTTATTTGCTCAATTATTTCGTTAATTTAACTTTTTACGAGTTCGACCACGGATTCATGTCAGTTAGAGAACCACTGAAATCCAGGGAGTACTGGACAGTCTAGGAATCATCGGCAGTAAGCACCCACCGCCAGGACCTTCAGCCACTGGGACCCGATTCAATGGCCAGCCCATGAATTATAAATTCTATCAGTTCGTGATTCAGTGCGACCACCAACCAATGTCATCGGTGGGACATCCATCCTCACACTTGACTGGTTAGACCTCACTGGTCACGACTTCTTACTAGAACTCCAGGAAACGACGTCCTGTAGCCAAGTCACTTCTGTCAATTCGCAATATAGAGCTACTGTCAAATCAACGATATGGGTGAATATCCGCCTCACCTTCTTCGACATTATTTTTTTTAACTGCAATATTGAAATCCTTATTTTCACCAAGTGATAGACAGGTCAACCCGATTAGTTCATGTCTCATATAATTTACGTACTTTATTTTCCAAAGGTTGAGCGAAGTAAAGCACAAAATTAACTAGTCACATCTATCGAATTAATAATTTACTTACAGTCAACAATTGCAAATCCTACTGCCAAAATGGTTTCAAAACACCTCGGAACCTAACTGAATTGCCTATAATGTTTCATCAAAGATACACTAGAATATAAGGAGTCCGGTATAAGTACATACACTGTGTTATTATTATTCCCTCGGGTTCCGAGTGGGGGGGCTTCAGCAGCATATCTCCATTTCACCTTGTTGTTTGCAGTTCTTTTAGCTGGCCCTACGACTGCGTATAAGGTTTATCCTCTATGTCACCCTCGCTTTCATGCCCGACACGTCCCTTCCCCCTCAGATTCCACTCTAGGGCTTGGCACGTGACTTTCCTCAATGGTCTTCTCAGGTTATATTCAATCTATCTCCATTTCCGTTTACGTACTTTTTGGTTGAGTTGTTGCATTGGACATTGATACTAATTCCAGCCCTCTAAATCTATTCCTACTTCCATGGCAGAAGAAGCATCAAAGATAGGCCTTCAAGTGAACATAGAGAAATCAGAGGTGATAATGAAGATTCCTGGCCAACAGCAACAACAACAAACAGCATAAATGGTAGAAATCTGAAAGAGGCAACCTCCTTTACCTACCCAAGTGGGTAGCATTATTTCAACTACAGGCGGAACTGGCGAGGATATCAAAGCAGCGAGTATCGGTAAAGCAAGGCAACCTTTCATCACTTTCAAGTCTGTGTGGTGGTCAACAACACAGCATCAAAAATAAGATCCGGATTTTCAACTCCAATGTGAAGTCATTGCTACTATACGGATCAGAGACTTGCACTGCGCGTCATAAAGAGCATCTCAAACAAACTACAGTCCTCCATCGACAGCTGTCTTCGCTCAATACTCAGATGGCCAGAAAAGATCAGCAACAGGGGGGATCTCTGGGATCAAACCAACCAGGGACCGATTGTGCAACAAATAAGCAGGAAGAAATGGATGTGGATGAGCCACACTCTGAGAAAACCATCAAGTGACATCACAAGACGCCCTCGAGTGGAACCCGAAAGGGAAGCGGTGAGTCAGTCGTCAGTGGGGGTAGGTGACATGGAGGAGATGAAAGCATTTGAGAAGACATGGAGAGCCAGGTGAAAACGTTGGCAGAGAACCAAAAGCAATGGAGACGTGCGGCTGAAGCCCTATGTTCCTATAGGAACTAAAGGAAACGATAATAATAAAAAATAATGTGTGGAATGTGCACAAATTCTCAATTACTATGATCAGCATAGATATATATATTTTTTTCTTTATACAAATTTAAACATTTTGTTTATTACATATACGACCATTATATGTGGAAGCAATTTGTAAGAGTTCTTTTCCAATAGTTTGTTCACTGGTTAAATTATCATCAGTTCGTGGGGTAAATATATCACTTAATTCACGAAATGTCATAGCAATTCGTCTAGTTGGTATATCTGACCGTCTGATTTCATGTTGCCATAAATATCGTGCTGGTCCACTGACTACAACTAACGAACGTCTGTGCAATGGTACACGTATACAAATCTACAAGGAAAAAAGAATATGAAGAGAAAGTGTACATGTACACTGCAGTTATTTAATCAAGTAGACAGCTTTTATAAAATGAGTATAATAAATGTATCCTGCTGGAGCGAGCATTACTCACACGAAATGATTGACTGGGGATATTAACGTACAACTTTATATATATATATATGCATCAGTTCAAGTTGCCATTATAAAAAAAAGGACACACATGTAAAAGTTGGCTCGAAAAAGAATGACCAATTTCCGACTCTAATGAGCTACTTGGAGTGAATTCACGCTATATTTTTTGAAGTGGTTTTACTCACACCCGTGTCAGCAAGTTAGTAAACTATGTAGTGACGATGCTGCCCAACCGATAGCTAACACCTTGACATGGTAGTGAGGCTTGCATATCAAAAAGTCTGTCTGTCTGTATTCGACATAGAACTTTGCACCGATGTGCCGCAGTTCAAGTCGCCACACCCCATGTAGCACACAAAGCAAGAGAAGAAATGCATAATAGAGACAGTAAACAGAGGTGTGAGAAAAAGGAATAGTATTAACAAAGAACAAAACAGTTTCATTGGAAATCATAAGTCACAAAGAGTGGATGCACCTGCGCCACTGAGAACGATTTTGAGCCATGTCACCAATTGTTTCCAACCATTGGTTTTTACCATCCCGAGGACCCCAACCAGTCAGAACGTCTACACCTTCCTACGTGGCTTAGACAAACTGTTGTAGATTTCATTGACTGGTGCCATGTTTTGGTTTGACCGCCGCTAGCTCTTTTCCAGCCTGACCCTATGTCAGCTAACATTGCCCATTGTCGAGGAAGGCGATGACTACGCGTACGTAACACACGTCCTAACCATCCCAGTCGATGTAATTTCACAGTCTCGTCTATTGATTTCCCCTCCTCACCTAGCACTCAACTGATGTCTAACCTCAATATTGCTCACCTTATTATTCCACTTCGCACGGGAGATAGAACGCAGACACCTATGATCGAAGACAGCTAATCTTTTCATGTCTTCCACTCTTAATGGCCATGTCTCACTCACAGTGATAAAGGAGGACGGAGCGGACTGCTGAGCAGTACACACGCCCTTTGGTAGATAACCAGTCGGATATCACGTCTACGCCAGAGACGGCTTAAACTGGCTTATGCAAAACTAGCCCTCTGTATTCGTGCTGAAATTTCGTCAGTGATCAACCCGTTGGCACTGGCTGATGATACTTCCCAAGTAAGTGAAGTGGTCAACGTGCTCTACCACTTCACTCCCTATTTCTAAACTAGGAGTCAGTGTAATCCAGTCCTGTAACATCATCTTACATTTGGCGGGAGCGAATCGCATGCCAAACATTCGTAGATTGCAGCCCAAGGTGTTCAGAAGACTCTGCATTTTGTCAGCGTCCTCGCCTAAAAGGACTATATCGTCTGCATATTCTAAGTCAACGAGATTATTCCCTGGTAGCAAGTCAATCCCTGAGTCTCTGAAGTGAGTTAAGGTTAAGTCCATTAGTACATCTATGATGAAATTGAATAGAAATGGGGATAATGGGCATCCCTGACGGACACCACTAGTCATCACTATTTCAGATGACAACTCACCATAAGCCCTCACCTGGCTGCATGAGTTTGAGTAGAGTGCCTTGATCAGTGCAATGTATTTTCTCGGCATTCCCTTTACAGCCAAGCATCGCCATAGTACCTCTCGGTCGACAGAATCGAATGTTGCCTTTAGGCCAAGAAATATAATGATTGTTGGACAAAGACCCGACGACCTATACTAACTGGAACTAATGTTTTCCATGCCAGAAGGATCATTTGGTTAGCCGGTTAGACTAAAAGCAATTACCATCATAAGGTAAACCACCCTCATCATGCTGGCACTCTGAGGATGAAATCACACTGCTGCCGAATAAGAATGTCAGCGCAGCAATATGTCTCCCTCAGAGGATAAGCAAGCCAGCCATGCTGCCTCTCCACACTGTCGGGAGGGACGGTTAATAAAAGTTAACCCCCGTAAAGTGTATATCCCGATTTACCTCCTGGCGGTCCGTAATCGACGACGCGGTAAGATCATCGCATGATGACACAACTCCAAAAAACCACCTTAAACAGTTGTCTCTACTGGACTCTGCATTCAGGTAACACTATAGTTTCTTCTGTTTCCCCTATTTCAAGAAGAAATCAACTTTCACGGGGTGTAAGCACCAACCCCTGCATCAGCGTACAAATCTTTCCTAAATAATAACACATTAGTTCATTCATACTTAAATGGATCCACTAAGTAAACTCTTATTTGAACAAAGCAAGAACTACAGTTTTAGCAGAATAAAGTGGTACCATCTTTTATTTCGTTGCCTTCTCGTCAGCTGTTTACAGGCCAAAGACATTATTAAATATCACTAGCCATAGCCTATCCTGCAGCTAAGCTGGTTCTCGTCTATCGAACGACTTGCTCCTTGGTGAAATCAAAAATCGATAGATAACCTTCTCATGTTAACTTCAACTGTATATACAAATTTACATGTATCTGTGGGAGCAGTTACATTGGAAGGACAGAAAGAAGGGAATATCTACGATTTTCTGAACAGGTACCGAAAAGCTTATGTCTAAAGGGAACAAATGCTTTAAACAGTGTCATCGCCAAGCATCTCCTCGACACGGGTCATGAGGTTGGACGTCGAAAAGTTGTTCAGAATTATCAATAAGCAAAAGAGCTCAATTCTCCTCAAGTTTGCTAAAGCCATTTCCATCAAGCTCCTGAAACCTGATTTATGCATCCAGAAAGAAGCGGTTATCAGTCTTTCTTTGCCCTGGTAACTGGATATTTTCATCTCTCTTTCATCTGAATGAGTGATGCTGAAAAGTTTTCATTGTGTATGATTATTATTGTTCGGAATAGTGTTTAATATTGCATATATATACGTACGTATTATTACTGTACGCATATATTGATCGATTGATTTTTATTTAAAATGAACTCTGTGCAAGTATGTTAAAATTGCTGTTGTAGATACATTTAATAATGTCTTTGCTCTGTAAGCAGCTGACGAGAAGGCAACGAAATAAAAGATGGTACTATTTTATTCTGCTAAAACTGCAGTTCTTGCTTTGTTCAAATTCATTAAGGGGAATAAATGTATGAAACTCTCATTTGAACAAATTTTGCACACAATTTGAGTGTTTATTATATACAAGACTTCCAAAATATCTCTTTACCTACTAACTATCCTTTAATGAGTAGTGTGGAATAAATTAAGAAAGGTAATTATTATTATTATTTCCTTCACGTTCCCCAGTGGAACATTGGGCTTCAAGCTAGTGGTTTGAAGTTTCTGTAGCAGTGTTTATTTTACAGGATGCTATATATATTAGAGTAGAGCCAGAGATGAGGATCTAATTGAAAAGTAAATATTTCTTCGCTCAATCTTTCTGTCTCCCAAATATCCTCGTCAGATGAAAGACTATGGCGCAGTTCAGATAGGAAGGACTTGAACAAGACACACTTGTAGGCAGGTTTCACAGTTTAGGTAATCACCACATGTTCCTTTGTTATTTTCATACTGAATTTTACAAACGACTGACAAAGACAACGTAAACATTACAAGAGTCATGTGACGGAATCAGTAGTTCATGCACGTCTTATTCACACCTGAGAGCAAAATTAACCAGTCTAACATTTACAGGGTGTTAATCATGTTAGAGAGAGAGAGAATTTATGGCATTCCACCAATCGATGCAACCTGACCTTGTTTCTCGTGATTATTGATTATTTTAATGGAAACGCCCATCACCTGAGATTGACCCTGGATATGAGTGTTGGTATCTATCTTCTTATATGTGTGTAAATGTGATTCACATCAATAGCTTCAGTACGTCTTCATCTTTTCTTGCGTAGTTGTGTTGTTTCCTCTATATTTTAGGAACAGATAAAGTTTACGTTTAGTCACCTGTGTTTTAAATTATAGTGAGGCTTACACTCTGTATTATCAGTACTGATAGTGACGATTAAAGTCTGTAGACAAATTTAATTCCACAGAGAGGTTCAGTTCAAAACTATTTGACTAGGCGCCCAACCGAAAGCTGCTACCTTGACGTGGTGGTCGGACTTGAACGCCGCAATCACCTAACAAGCTAAACTGGCTGAGACTTATGTCGCTTGAGGTTCTACCATGCCAGAAAGGTTGTTTGGATAGCGGTTAGACAAAAACCAACTACCCAATCCAATGCTATGACTCAAACAAAATCATAAAATATCATGCCGGATCGGTCGGGGCCCGGATTAACAACGACCGCGCTTCCTGCTGCCGTGTCACAGGGCAGAAGGGATAAATATGCTACTGAGACACACCAAATAAAAAAGAACAAACAAAAACAGGTCACGTGTGACTGGCCTCAAACAGTTGTCCTCTGGGCTCTGCGGTCACGCAAATAACTTCCATGGTGTGGGCAGTCGGGAAGTAACAATCGCCCTCACAATCCGAAATTTGACTAGGGGTGGCAACAGTAAGGAATAGACACCAACTTCAAACGACCTTGAAACAACCAATCAGATCCTGTCAGGTTGAAAGTACCACTTAATTAATAAAAAAGTATATTTATAATACATACATGTAATAAAAATCAATTATACAGGGTATATGCTTCTTATACGCTGCAAAGCTTGGACCCAGTTTCTCATAGGAGTGGTTGTAGACATATCAGACCTATGTCGACACAAAAACTCATCTAAATTTCTATATACCATATCATTTCGGGAACCATTTCCCATCCTAATACGTTTTTTTTCAGGTGGGCCAAAAATCATTCAACAGAATTAGTATGGGTTCCAGTTATAGGATCCACTAATTCAGAAGAATGGTTGACTTTGTGATGAATATAGCCTAGTGATGATAATTGAGAATAACGTCTCCACTCATCTGTGTAAACGGTAGTGCCTCAGAGAACTAGTTGTTGTGTAATTTATGTCGTACAGTCCCAGGAGCCAAACATGATTTGCTCTCTCCCAACCGCGATCCATCCTTTCGTCTAATAAGTACTATTTCGTCAATGTGAACGACGACACCAACTCCCATTGACCTTTGTGAGGCAATATCCCAGCAGTGCTAGTACCACTGCACTGTTAACATTTTAGTATTCTCTGTTTCTGCACCTGTAGCAGATACTGGTCGTTTCAGTAGCCAGTTACGCAATGTTTTACTAAGGGAGAGTTTCGATTTCGCGAAGAGAGTATCTGAAAAATCACCATAAATCACCACGACTTGCCAACTTTTACAGACTTTCTCATATAAAAGTGGTTGCATCTGAATGCATAACCATCAATAGCCCGGGAATACTTTTGCATTATTTCATTATCCCTTCACAACCGATTTTTCACACCAAAGTCAAAAACTAAATCTGGTTAAGACTTGCAGCGAAGGATATGAACAGTATCCAATTGCTGTAAACTGAGCAATCTGATTGGTTCATTCAAGGTCATCTGACTATGGTGTTTATTCTTTACTCTTACCCTAGACTCAGATGGGAAACTATTCATAGCAAGACAATCTAGTACAGAATTTAGTCAGATTGTCAGCACATTCATCAATGAAATTGGCTTTAAAAACACATTCAGTTGGTTAGATTTCGCACTGTTTTACTGTGATTACCAACCAAATTCCCCTTATCTTTCTAAGTATGTATATATATACATATAACTCCTCTTCATCCAGATTATGTGCTTGAGATACTAATAGGACTACTTATAAAAAACTGTCTTCGGTGTGAATAGTATATGTAAGATCAATTGAATTCCCATCCTTGAATCAAGTCAAGCTGTCCCGGATCAGCCTAGCGTTGTGGCAGCCCAATTATCCATGCCTAACGTGTCTATCCCACCTTGTTTAATGAACTGTGTGTGTGTGTTTTCACTTCGATCTGTTTAGTCAGACAGTTGAACTCATGACCCAATCAGAGTATTTTTGTGAACTGTTATTTTGCTGACCCATGTCTTATTTTGTACTATTCTGTCGAGTTTATCTTATTGATTGGTTAAGTAGCCAATTAAATTCTATCTTTGTGCCTATGCTGTGTCTATCTCTTACTTGGGTTCATTCTTCTACTGACTGCTTACCTGAACGGTCTTGTCTGATTCCGGCTAGTTCGCAATTTTGGCTTTAACGTTATTCCGCTCTGATAGCGGTATCTTGCTTTCTCTTAAGCGTTGTGCTTTGTACTCCTGAAACCGTTAAGGTTTGCTGTATATATAATTATTGATTTGTTTATTAATAGTACCGTAGAAACAGTGACCGGCTTCTTGTTTGTTCTCGACCGGGATAGCGTGACTTAATTCCAAGCGATATTGCGCTTACAGTATAGTTAATTCTACCATACGAGAGACTTTTTTCGAATAGAAACTCATTTTTCAAAAAAACCATATTAATGTAATCGCCAAATTTATAAACTTTTTTCTTAAGGAATGTTGCATCAAAGTTTAACGGAAATGCTACTTTCCCAATTATGATTAACAAAAGAAAACATTTAAATATAGAGATATGTAACCCAGACATCGATACACTTATCGATTATTTTCAATTGCTATAAATTCATACCAATGCAGTGATAGTGATAGCATTTACCACAATGATGAATAAATCGATGATGTTAGTTTGACTGGACACTAGTGTGCGTTCAAATTATACAATACCGTCCCTTACAGGAGGTCAATTGCAAGCCCGAATAGCTAGCTCAGTGGTAACGTCTGTGACTGCATCACAAACTGGATGATGAGAGTTTGAATCTCAGCAGGGACATGAGTTCTTTCAAGGTTGCAGATACGCTTTGCTGACGATTGCTAACTAGTAGCACGCAACTTAGATCCAAGGCGTCCCCTGTCGATTGTCTCCAATCATTCAACAATGCAAAGGTGATGTTAGTGTTTTAAGTGACAACCAGGCTGGTCATAGAAATACCAGTGAAACTTATAATAATAATTCGGAAACATTTATTTCCCGGTAGGAATTTAAAACAAGCAACAAAGGTTAATGAAGCAGGATTTAACGAATTCATCAGACTCCGGCAGAACTCTTCAGCCGAATATTCTACGTACGGGGATATTTATATATATATATATACTAGTGGAAATTCATTGGGTGATATAAGACTGATAAGCAAATAAACTACTTTGGATTAATCATGTAAAACAACACGTGTGTGTTCAAATAGATACGGGGAAGGGAGTATGAGACATTAAAATTAACATAGAATGAATTACGGTTTAATTACCTTAAATAAACAATTGGTTATCAGTGAGTGAAGGAACATGAATATATATTAAGAATTGCAAACTAAATAATATTGTTAATAATAGTATTGCTAACAATAGTAACAACAATAATGATCAATAATAATACAAATAATGTTAAATTGAGTTAAGACAATGGGGTACTGATAAAAGATAGTTTTGCTTTCGCTAACTTACACCATCTCTGGCGTAGGCGTGACATCCGGCTATCAACCAAGGGATGTATGTACTGCTCAGCAGTTTGCTTCGTCCTTCTCCTCTATGGCTCTGAAACATGGCCAATACGAGTTGAAGACATCAAAAAGGTTGACTGTTTTTGATCATACATGTCTACGATCTCTTTCTCACGTTAGGTGGTATAATAAGGTGGTAAGTAATGTTGACGTTAGGTGTAGAGTGTTGGGCAAAGAGGGAAAATCAAACGAAGAGGCTATAAAGTTACATAGATTGAGATGGCTAGGTCACGTGCTGTGCATGCCTAACCATCGCCTCCCCCGACGGGTATTACTAGCTGATATAGGTGCAGGTTGGAAAAGAGTAAGTGGTGGCCGTAATGTGGCGATCTGATCAATGCATGACTTGTTTCTCCTGAATCCAGCCTGTTCCGGTCGAAGTTTTTCATCCAGGGCATGTTTGATTCTCTCCAGGATGATGCGGCTCAGTATTTTGCTTGGGATGGACAGGAGCATAATTCCGCGCCAGTTCTTGTATTGACTTAAGTCTCCTTTCTTTGGTAGTTTGAATAAGTATCCTTTCTTCTAATCTTCCAATGGAGAATCAGTTTAACTGTCAAGGATTTCATGGATTGATTAGGCTATGTTTTTGTTTGGCCACCACTTACTCTTTTCCAACCTGCACCTATATCAGCTAGTAATGCCCGTCCGTCGGGGGAGGCGATGGTTAGGCATGCGCAGCACGTGACCTAGCCATCTCAATCTATGTAACTTTATAGCCTCTTCGATTGATTTTCCCTCTTTGCCCAACACTCTACGCCTAACGTCAACATTACTTACTTTATTATACCACCTCCTAACGTGGAGAAAGAGATCGTAGACATCTATGATCAAAAACAGTCAACCTTTTCACGTCTTCAACTTGTATTGGCCAATGCAATTCTAATAGTATATATCCCTGTATGTAGAGTATTCAGCTGAAGAGCTCCGTCGAAATTTGATGAATTCATTAAATCCTGTTCCATTAACCTTTGTTCCTTGTTATAATGGATTAATTATTATATTCACAATATGGCAAGCTAATGTGCCTACGGAAAATTCGTCAAGCAGGTAGCACTGTCAGACTTCCCATAAAATAGGTGAGGTGTAGAAGCATGTGTATCGGTGGTAGAACTGTCATCAACCATTTAGGTGAGGGCCGACTCCAGGCCGCATTCATGAATCTGACTTAGCCATTAATAACGCCGGGAAAAACATAGGGAAGGTTAGGTGTGAGGATAACAATCCTCACCTCACCCCAGCCACACACACCCTCTACATCCAGCAAACAAAAACAACCCCATCGCTAACATTGAAACTCGACAGCTTGAAGCCAGAACTCAAGAGAGAATGACTGCTGAATTAAAGCATAAACATGAGATTGTAATTTACTTCCAAACTATCAATTAAAATACTAAAACTCACCGCATTATCTGTTAATATCTCTTTTGATAAACATGACTGAATACGTTGAATTTCGTCATTTATCCCATTTACAATAATATCATTTGAAGGGAGTGTAAAAGTTAGGCAAGTTGAACCGCATAAATTAAGCGTCACCAGTCGTTCACCCCATAACCATGTATCATCAAAATGTGGTACAATACAAGCACCACGATCTGATTTATATTCTAAATTGCATAATTCCACTGGAAGAAATTCTTGACCAGGAGGTATTTTTTCTTTTAATTGATCATTATATCGAGTAATAATAAATTTAGAATAGGCGGGTAAACCGCGAAATTCACCAACATGAACTTTTTGTCGTTTAAAATTTACTTTAGGTCCATAATCCTAAAATGTTAAATATAAGTGGGTAGTTAGGTAGGTAGATAAGTTGAAAGACTAAAATATAAATGATCAGTAAGAGTTTCAACATAGAACTTTTCACAGAAGTGAAACAGTTTAGTTCGCCATACTCCAAGTTGTACATACATACACAAGAGGCATCAACTATCATGTTGATAACAAAAAAACAGACCAGAGATTCATAAAATACAATAATTCTAGGCTAATTTAAACAAGTGCAAGTCAATACTAAATCACAAAACTAGTCATAACGCACGTACACATACACTAAGTTAACAAATCATTCGTGTAACCTTAAAGCACTTCACTACTTTATGAACCGATAATGGACGATTTGTGATTAAAGTAAATCAGGACACCAAAACAACAGTCTGATGGCATCATTCATTGAAATCTACAACAGTTAGTTTAAGTCAGCCACGTAGGAAGATGTAGACTTCCTGACTGATTGGGGTCCTGGGGACGCTAAACACCAATGACTGGAGACAACTGGTGATATGCCTCAAAATCGTTCGCAATGGCTGGTGCAGATGCATCCACTCCTTGTGACTTACCATTTCCAATAAAACTACATAGATCTTCGGTGTTGCTATTCCTTTTGCCTCAAATCTCTATTTGCTGTCTCTATTTTGCATTTCTTTTTTACTTTCTCCTCTTGCTTTGTGTGCTACATGGAGTGTGGCGACTTGAACTGCTGCACATCGGTGCAAGATTCTATGTTGAAACTAGTCAGTCGGTCACTTAGTGTCTCAATCGCATAAGTTTGTGTCCTTCAACCCTTTTCACTGACTACGATAAAAACTATGACCTTAACCGGATAAAATATCCATAAGAAAACAATTCTTTCTAAGGAGAAAAAATTCCGGGGGCACTGACACAAAAAATAATCAATATTTCAGGTGGTATTTATGATGTATTTAGTTTTTTCAGTGTCATTTATTTAAGGTCTGTTATGTCATCCCCTTATAAAAACGAAACGAAACGCCGATGCGAACATCTTGCGTTTACAATCGGATTGAAGAGTTGGGAAATTTTGATCCCAAAGAGCAGTAGTGTACATGGGCTCCAGAATCTGAAAAGATCGGATAGTGTTGAACCTGCTTTAGTCACCATTAAAGTAACTTCTGACACTGATCCACTGGCTTGTGGCTTAGACTTCAAGTCGAGAGCTCGAGGGTTGGCCTCTTAAGACAGGCAACTGCTTCGCTCTGGGCTTCCGGGCAGTATCGCAGCCTTCGGACAAACTATGAGATTTTTTTTAGTGCATCTTTTGGTGTCTATAATGTACTAAATTTGTGTTTCAATAATAATGGTGATAATAATATCTTAAAGAACAGACACGGAACAAAGAGAACTCTTTTCGATAAATTCATCATCAGGTTCTACAATTATATATACATTATAATGAATGAATGAATTAGTCTTATGAACGACATTAATGTTTAAATAACATCAAATCAATAATATCGATAGATAACAGCTGAATAGCATCAACATAAAATAAACTGAATGTCAGAAGAATTAGGAAAGGTAATAGTTCAAATTCATGAGTTTATTGTCTCTACTGAGGGCTACCTCGACTGTATTTGTATTTATCAATTCAACTGCGCTTGTGGAGCGAGTTATGTTGGCCGTTGCTCTAGGAACTTGATTTTTCGTGCTCGAGAACATATCCCACTATGGTTAAGTAAAGGTGTAGTTAAAACTATTAACAGTTCGATATTAGACCATCTGGTGCAAACCGGTCACAAAGCCACCGTTGAAGAATCATTCTCTATAATATACCGGGTGCCTAACAAACTACCAAAATCGTCGAAGCACCGCATACTCCCAACAGCAGAGGCTATTGCAATTCGCCTCAAACAACCAGTGCTCTGTGTCCAAAAGAAACAAGTCCAGCCCCTACTACTGCCCTGGAACTCAGTAGAGACTATAAACTCATGAATTTGTACTATTACCTTTCCTAATTCTTCTGACATTCAGTTTATTTTATGTTGATGCTAACAGCTGTAATTTATCAATATTATTGATTTGATGTTATTTAAACATTAATATCGTTCATTAGACTAATTCATTCATTCATTATAATGTATATATAATTGTAGAACCTGATGATGAATTTATCGAAAAGAGTACTCTTTGTTCCGTGTCTATTCTTTTGAAAAATTTCAATGGGCATTTTCAATCAGTTAATAATATTTTATCCAGTTTTACAGAGAGAGTACTTTGAAAGGAAACATTTTTGTTTCTCATTGTAAACATAAAGCCATTGAAATTGACAGCACACTAAACGAATCACCACAATATAAACATGAATCATGCTTACCTGTTTTCTTCTACCAGACTGAGATAAAAACCATGGTTGCTCATCAATTGCACTAATCAGCATAGCTTCTTCACTTTCACTAACAAAATCTTGTATAACTTCAACACCGGGAAAAGAGAAACCATTTTCATGTGTATGAGAGTCACCTGATAAACTAGACTTTTCAATTTCTGCTATACAACATTTAGAGCAAAAATTGAATTCGGAAACCTGTTGGCCAAACTGAACACTATGATTGGGGGAATTTACCGTACACTGTCTGGAATACTACTGTTGACTTCGCAAACGGCACAACTTCGAATTCCTTTACATCCACATTTAGGTAGCATTGATAACGTGTCTACACAGGAAGTGACAGATAGAAATAGGTAATTAAACAGCACTTCTAAACACATATGATAAAAAACAGGATTACCTTGTATTCAATTCACTGACACTCAATGTATTAATATTTAAGAAGTTTTCTTCCTAGCCGTTACTTTTCTTTAACCCTTTAAGAGGGATATTAAGTACTGATTGCCACTGAAGTTCTCTGGCTACTTAAATCAGCAATACATATACCAACCGTTTATCGAATTATTAACTCCGAATACGTAAATCCACGGAATATTGCATCATTTCACTTTGAAAATGATGCATTATCATCATGATTCAGCAAAATATCTACAGATTCGTAATATCGAATTTCTGGCTATTACGATACTGTTGCTGCTGAAAAACCAGTGAACAGGGTGGAATTTTAACCACTTCATATTTCGATAATATGTTCCTTGAGAATTCCACGAAGATGTGTTTTCAACCACCTATACATGGAATCTATAACCACATAGTGAAACTCACTGTAGCACACACCCCACTTTCGCCAACTCTGGAAACGTCGCAGCATCAACCCGTCAGTCAAATATAGGATTTGCTATGTTTCGGCGCACGCAACCTTATTCTACGCCTGTGAAACTTGGTCTCTTTAAGCTCAGTATGTACGGCGACCCTGAGTATCTGATATTCACTGATTTCTCACAACTATTTGAGTCCGATGGCATCACCATGTAAACAAAATCCTGAAGTTTAACAGAGTGTTTGGACATGGAGGTCACTTTTCATTGAGCACTTTCACCTTGAAACGTCGGCTTTGGTAGCTGGGATATATGCTACAAATGTCATCCCAGAGTCGCCCATATCGCTCGCTGTTTGCTAGCCCTGGGGAAACATGGAAAAAGCCAAAAGGTGTTCAGCCTATGAAGCGGTGCCATAGGATAAAAGTTGTGTTAAGTTAACATCACGACTTCGTCAGTGCAGTTTGAGACACAATTTGAATCTGTGGCTTGAGACGTTATCACATACAACCAGGAATCGTATTCAGTTGCAAACTTAGTGAAGTTTCATTCTTTCTTCTATCTCTGGAATTAACATGAAGCACTGGGCCCTCCTTTGGATATTCTTGACAAGCATGCCTACCTGCCTTTTGGTTGATCTGACCACTCACATAAGAACTGACTAACACCATTATGGAAGAATTCGAGCAACAAAATTTAATGACGATATTTTAAGGAAGCACACCAAAGAACCACATTTTCCAGAAAGTTCTTATAACTTTGGACCAGCCAACAGAATTGATTCCAGGCCCAGAAGAACGAAAATGATAGGCGATAAAAGTAATGACGGGGTGGAGAAGGTAAATTCTGTGACTAGCAGCATGTACGAGTGGTAAAAATAAGTCGGTAGTAAATGGGCAGGACAGAATAAATGTTGGAAAGGACAGCGATGATGGGTAATTCCCAAAACAAATCTCCTGGATTTCTTCAACAGCTCATTTATGATCAGTAGTAAAATAGTTTGTCAAAAATTACAGCGAAATAAATTAAGCGACACATCTTACTATTGCAAATACGACAATTTTATGCATACAGCGGTTTCCAAAAGAATTCGAAAGTAATCAAAAGTTTGGTGAGAACACACGTGTCATACCTACACTTTGTTCCACTGGTGTTATAGCATCACTTTCAAGTTCCGGCATACGAGTACAGTTCTCAATACCCTTCGCCATACAAATGGGTCGCTAGTGCAACCTCACATCCATTTTTTTCATTGGCCTAACGCTAAAACTTCCTTGCTAAGTATGAAGAGAATGTCTTTCTTTCGGTAATAACAGTACCACTGCTGGCGTCATCGCTATTATTACCAATCAATATCAGTTTTCGTCAATTTAATTTCAAGATGTTATAGGACAGTCCCTAATAAATATAACAGGGAGCTGATATCGCGAATAATATATAAAAATAGTTTAACAGTGTTAACCTTCAACAGAAGTGCAAAATAAACTTGACATGTTCACCTACATAAAAACAACAAAGGCGTTACAAAGTGGTTTCGAAGACAATATTAAGACAATTATTTGCAATTTTTGTTAAAGGCAATATAAAGTCTATATACCTGACGAATACTTAAGGAGCCTAAAGTTTAAGGCTTCGTTAGTAAGTTACTTCACAGTTTATATCCTTGAGATCACCACAATGACCTGTCTGTTAAAGCGTAATGAGAAAGCCCCCAAAAGAGATTTAATGAGTTTCCTTTTAGCACCCAGTCTCGCTCATTATTACGTCTCATAACTAGTATTCACTATTCATCTAAAGTAACTCATTTGGTTGCGTTTTCATTAGTCTATTGTAAGAATTACACTACACTACGCATACTGTATAAATTTGTCAAAAGTTGACATTCGCCATGTAAAGTATTTTAAGTTCCTTTGGAAGAATATATCACTACGGCCATTTCAAATATTTTCAAATTCAATACCATGAATTCAATATGATTAATCATGCTTAACAGTACTGTTATTCAACAATCTTGATCTTAGGTAACCCTAACCATAATATTCGCAAAATCATTAGATGTGCTAGTGTTAAATAGTTATTTCAAACTTAAAATTTCAGTACACTTCAGCCACTCGACTGGACAATGGAGAAACATATGGGATAATTCAACATTAGCGCAAAATCCCAACGTACGGTTTCCATACAACACCTCAATGTGGTATCCCTATACACATCACTCCTAATTTTTTTTTCATCACGAAACACCTTCATTATGATATAGCACCGCGATTTCGGCATTTAACCTAAGTGAATTTTGCGTTTGAAAGGGTAATTTACGGCGCTTCACTTAATTCAGATATTAAGAGAACCACTTCTAAGTGAACGATAGTGTATGCCATCTGAATGTCATTTTTAGTGTTTTCCACTTATTATAACGCAATTAAGGGACACGATTAAAGAAATAAGTACTTCGGGCAAACATTCTCATCAGGCTTTACAATTAAATAATAGATTATTACTCATAGGAGTTTGAAAGTGTGGACCAAGAGAATCAACTATAAACGTAGGTCACGGGGCGACTTATAAGTCCTATATATATATATATATATATATATATATATATATATATATATATATATATATATATATATATATATATACAGAGAGAGAGAGAGGTGGTCATCATAGTAACAAGGATAAATTCATCTGGGTTTATATAATCTAGGTAGTCGCGAATGTGCAAGTAGAATATGTGTACCAGTAAGATTAGCGGGTGAAACGACTGCTGTTACAATGATTAGATAATATAATAATGTAATATAATAATATAATATAATCATAATTGAATCGTGAAACGAAGATTAAAATATGCAACTATAGCTCAGTACGATATTGATAATGAAGATATCCCAAGCTTACAACAATTCTGAACTTATTCTAACCTATTCTTCGATAATGCCTTTTTATCGTAAATGAAGATTTTATCTACCCACTATGTTCTCAAATAACGCTGATCGTGCTTAGAAAGAGAGCTGGGTGCTGAACTAAGTCTTTTCGCTTTGACGTAATGCTATTCCGTGCTTAATATGTCCTGTGAGGGCTGGAACAATGCTGATAAGCAAACCCAGTAGGATTTGATCTACTCCTGAAAAATGCCTAGAAAGAGAACATGGTGCTGAATTAGTACCACTCATGCTGAAAAATAACACTGAGTTCTAATATGCACCATTAAAGAATCCATTTCAGAACAGATTCATAATTTACTCAGTATAAAATGTTATTAGTGAGATTTAATTCAGCATTATAGTAAGCTTGGGGCCAGAATAAATACAACTAATATTCAGTTATCTAGTACCACCATGAGAAGTAACTGTTCTGGGTTGTGGTTGGAGGACGTGAGGAAAAGGATTAAGAAATTTTCTCGTAACACAGAGAATTTTCTGCCAACTGCCTTAATTATGCTCATCAATCGAACTAATGGAATTGTTATGGCACCTTATATAAAGTATCAAAGGCTGGACATACATTGCTTGTCTATTGATGCCATATACTCCCCTAAAACCAAGTCATGCCTTACTTTGAAAGTCACGGTTAAGTCATCCGTCGCATTGCGCGCACATTCAATGTCCAGCATTGGAACTACCATAAATCCAACTGATCCAACTGCACTTTTATGGCTGTTTATTTGGGCTGAATAACTCCGGATATTCAGTGGATTCTTGTGTCCTTATAGTTACTTACCAATGCTTCAGCACTTTCAGTAGGTGATGGTCTGATCTGAATCAGATATGGAATCTCTGATTTAAATTAATACTGAGGCAGAAATTCCTCTAAAACCGCTTCTTAAATATCTTTGTAAAACGCATCTCAATACTGGCTGACGAGCAACACTTTTCGAGAAAATTCGCTTTTGATGCGCGTGAAAAATGGAAATTGTGCCGCGTAACGTCAACATGCACCTATCGGTTCACTTGCTGCTGTGGATCTGACCACACTGTCCCCACTCCGTCTTCTGAGTCTATACGCTGCAAAAATTCTAAAATGCCGCAGCCTAAGCAACTTTCTCCGCTGTATGTTTCTGATCATTAAAATTACAATAAGACACCAGATGGTGCCGGTTGATGTATAAGTCATATAATCCGGCTGATACCAAATATCTTCAAGTGTTGGTTTGTAGGGATTTGATTGGTTACAGGATTTCATCATGAGCTGACATCCCTACAAACCAACACTTGAAAACCAATGAGATGCTCACTAGCGACTTGCCCTATTCAGGTGGGTAGTCACCTGGGGTTCTAGTGAGAAGTCGTGACCAGTAGGGTGCAGCAGGTCGGGCGTGAGGACAAATACTTGCCGAAGACATTGGCTAGGGGTCGCGCTATGTCGTGAATTGGCAGAAGTTAGAATTCATGGACCATTGGATCGGGTCCCAGTGGCTGAATGGTATACGAGCTCGCCTTGTAACCAGAAGGTCCTGGGTTCGAATCCCGGTGGGTGCGTACTGATGAAGAGTCCCAAACTAGGACGAAACAGCTGTCCAGTACTCCCAGGTTTTCCAATGGTTCTCTAACTGATGTCAGCTCATGATGAAATCCTGATACCAAATATCTTAGTTGGAATAAGGACAAGTTGTTCAAAAGGTAGGGTAAGTGCACAAGTTCTGTTCTTGTATCAAGGTGAGGAAGATTTTTCTTTTCAGCCCGTCGTATAAGTGCTATTGCACGTAGAGTCGCGTTGCTATTCCGCATGTAGGAAAAGATTACGAACGCCCTGCTCCTCTTTTCTGAATAAGGAAGTCAATAACAGGAATTACTTCACAAGATGCTCCACCTTGAGTTCAGTAAGTACAAATAGAAGTTTTTCCACTTCAGTGTTGTGAGTTAATTTGTAAAATGCGTAGGCCGTTAAAGTAATACATTTGGCATGGAGACTTCATGATGAAACCAGAAGTGTATTATTTTAATAAATCTTATGCACTGCCTGTATCAATTTGATGTTCGTCAAGCTGCAATTTGAAAACTGCTGAATGTTGTGACCAATCTAAGGTCATAATTCACAAGTCCACGAATTGGTGTCGTTTTCATTGCTGACAGTTCACAATCTATTGATTTTACAATACGCATTTTTCACTTAATTGTGAAAACATTAACTCGGTTTTTCGAAAAATCAGTACAATAGTTATGAATTTCATGACTTGTACAGATTGCATTCTATTCCATTAATACTGAAACTAAACTATCAGGGAACTCATATTTCTAAGAAGGATGTAATGTAAGTCTCATTTCTACAACTGATATCCTTGTTTTAGTTTAATTTTATCATACATGTATTAATAGAGTTGTCTGTCTTTAACTCTAGGAACTTATGTAGGAGCAGTCTCGTCAGCTTAGATTATGCTGATGATATTGTCCGCCTAAGCTTTGAGAAATGACCAGTGAAGCTTGGTGATATGAAGATCACTGGTGTTTGAGTGTAGGTTTCCGTGCTCCGTCTCCTGTGTTAAGTAGTATAATACGGCACTTATGACACAGTCATATTTCTTTCCCAACAAGCGGCAGCAACAGTGGTCTTATTCAAAGTGTGAATTACCTGTAAACTGGGAAATTCGAGTTCAACACAGCAACATATGTGGGCGAGGTATTTTTGTGCCGCGGAATTTCTGCTGGTAGAAATAGAATTTACGAACTGAAAATATTCGTAAAATATGGAAGCACCCCATTGAGTCATCTCTTAGGAAGACTGGTGAAATGAGATAAGTTGCACAGATGCATCTGTAGATATGTAGGTGTGCGTTAATTCACGTAAACTCGGGGTTGTTTAAAGTAGATATTTTGTTTAAGCGACCTTCTGTTGTACACTTCTTATTTTTCATATATGTAATGTACTAACCAGCGTTTCACGAAGCAGTTTTACCACTTCCTGAATAACCTACCAAAGCTATCCCTAGTATTAATTTATGATACCTCACCATTTTAACTTAAAACATGAATGGTCATGCCTGTAAAAATGACATGCATTTCTTGTAAGCACCAGTTATTACGAAATATAAATTATTATAATTTGACGCAAAACTCAATTATGACGCGCGCTTTTAGTCAAATTTCCTCAGTGTCTATACTTTGTTCTATACTGTCTGCATTGCTCACGCCTGTGTAAAGTGTTCTTATAAGTAGTATGACGTCATCTTTTCTTATATGTATCTTGCGCGAGTGGGGATTTGTAAATATGCTTACTCCTCGTATATGTTATTTATCATGTTGATGAAGAGAATAAACTGGTGTCCCGAATGTACGAAAAATGAGAAAGTATATTATTATTCCTCTTGTAATCAGAGAAGCCCTCTTTCCCATCTACGAATGTTGCAGGGACATTCGATTACTCCACGTTTATTTTTGCTTTCATCGAAGGAAGACACAACGGCTAGCGTGCTCCTAGGAGCATCTTACCTTCTCCACCTCCAGTGCAGGACAAATTTCTGTTTATACTTTCCTTGGATGTTCCTTTTGTGACCAGATTAATTTTCCACTGTGCGGTCGTTAGCCTCAATAGCCGACTTTCCTATTTCTATAGACCTGGAGCCAACCGTTAAAGAGACGTTTGGTCCAAGAAGAGAACAATTTATTGACCCAGACATCAAAGGTCACTGTGGTGCCACAGCGGTTACCATTTCGCATTTCGCGACTCATGAAGCGGTCAGTCGCCACACCTTCAGGAATCCCTTACGAAAAATCAACATTTTTAAGCAGATATGGTTTGAATTCATGTTTCTAAATTTAAATATGAAAGGCAAGGAACCAATATTCACCTGAAAATTCACTTGACCGGAACTTTTGAATTATGGATTTGTTTGCAGGGTGGGGTAGTGATGACAACAAAGTTGATCACTTTTGATAGAGTCATGGCATGAACTTCAATCCGCAAAAATTGTATTATACATAGTGGCTCTTACTGATTGCAATCTCTGTTCATGGGCGCTTTTAAGTACATTTTAACACAATGTTAAGCATCGGGTGACGGAAATAAACACAAAATGTCACAGGAAACTGGAATGTGCCTCAAATAAAACAGCGGCGCCCTAAAACGACATTATGTCAGTTATTATACCATTTGACGATTTTATGGTAGTGATAGACGCTATGTTATGGAAAACACTAAGAATCACGCACCACATGTTATCATTTCTAGAATCACTCCACAAAGTCACTCTGAACTGTTTCCACTTATCCGACTTGTCATCCTAAACCAAAAATCATAAATTTTCTATTTTTGTAGTATTGAATGTTACCTTATCAAGTTTCATACCATTTTACGTAACATTTTATATTCCCTTACAACCCTACAATTATGTACCACTTCCCAATATCTTTACACCTTATATATTATTCTATACATGACACTGATTATTACTACCCCACAAAATAATAATAATATACTCTCACTTTATGTGCACTAGGGATGCCAGTTTACAGACATAATCAATATGATAAGTTATGTATACATGGAGTAAGTATAATTACAATTTTTCACTTACGCGGGATAAAAGCACAAGGAAAGGTGATGGAATAATAATGCTTTATATTTCGCATAAACTGGTGTTTACAAGAAATGCATGCCATTTTTGCAGGCACGATCATTCATGTTATAAATTCCAATCGTGAAGTATCATCACTTAATAATTTTTGAATTTTTAAATTGTTCGACTACTTTGCTGGCAATCAGAACAGGTTCTTATAAATGTTAATTTGTAAACCCTTTAATTAGGCCACCAACAAATTTTATTCTTTAATTTTTGATTATAGTTTGATTTCAAACGTATTTTCGGTACAAGCATGGAATTTTCAGCATGTGATATCGGTAGCCCAAATTTTGCAGGCCGACCAATTGATACTGTGTGAACTGGCAGGAGATTGAAACCCAGACCATGTGCATGGTCGGCGAAAGTCCTAACCGCGACGACCTAAACTTCCTTCCGTTTCGTGCTGATAGTTATGGTCAACTAGTGAACGGCGTATATCTAGGTGATTGCCATGCCGCCACGTGATTAAAAGCTATTCAGGAAAGGAAGAAAATTCTGTGCAGCCGCAAATATTATAAAATGCAATTATGAATAATACATTATTGAAAGTATATTGACAAGATAAAAACAAGAAGAAGCTATGTATTACTTGAAATGATAGTATACATTTGCAATGTTTAATGCTAACCATATTGGTCTAAGCATGGAAACTATGGTGTTTTCGACGAAGATATAGCTTTGTTCAAAAATTGGTGTTGTTGTGTTTTTAATCAGAGCAACCAGGCTTAAAGCAAGCAACAAATATGAATAAAAAGCAAGCTTCAGCTTCAATAAAGGCCTAGGCAGTTAAGATCAGATAGAGTATAATAGTGCGTAAATGAAAAGATTATTGTTAGGTAGGTAAGCGATATTTAAGTGAGAAGTGAATTCAAGAATCTGGAAGATTAGAACCTGTAGAAAAAAGTGGCCTGTAAGATGTCTCACGAATTTCAGCAGGGCACATGGGGTAACGTCTTGACAAGAAGCTGAACAGGCTTGCAGACGGTAGGAGCGAAAGCCATTTTTATATCCTGAATCTCTACAACCCTTATTTATTTTATTTTTTGTTAAGGATCCAA